ATTTGCTATTTATCTACTAAATAAAACCAAATAAAATATGAAATAAATAGGAGATGTAATAAATAAAAAACACAAGTAGGAAATGAAATGAAATTGGGGGAAAAAGCCCTTAAAATTAATATAAAAACAAATATATTTTTAGGTAGTGGTGCTGTGTACATACCTCTTAGGTACTCAGGCTAAGAATTCTGGAGTTTTGTCCCATATGAAGCAAATAAATAATGAATAAACGGCGACTAAACATGTAGATAGAGAAGCGAAATAGGTAGCAACGTAAAAGTGTAAAGAGAAAAAGGAAAAGAGCTGAGCTCCAGCGCTGCGAGCAGGGTTCGAACCTGCGCGGGGAGACCCCATTGGATTTCAAGTCCAACGCCTTAACCACTCGGCCATCGCAGCACGGCACGTCACCTAGCATAAGGAGCTTTAATAGACTACATACAGTAACCATCGACTCCCTCACAAAATTAAAACTCACAGTGTCGGAGCTTTTAGTTGTGAAAACTAATGTTTTGTCGTTTTGAGTTCCTACATTTACATCCCATAAGGGTCACGAAGGAGACATTTCTGAGAAGATATAAATCAATACCGTAGCGAAGAGTATCCGATAAATCTGTTCCTACTGTTTATTAAACCCTGCGCCGTACCCTACTGTTTACTACTTTTAAAGGGGGAAATTAGTTCTGTTAATTGTGGAAGTAAAAACTGTTTTACCACTTTACTTAAAACTATCCTCGTGTTTATGAAGCAGAAATGTTCAGATAAATTGCCATTTCCAGTGAGATTAAATTTTCTGGCAGTAAGTAGCAGAAGGTCCTCGGGATACTCATTTAAAGTATTTCCCAGTACTTGCATACTCTTTTGCTACACACTCAAAAGTATGTACTTCATACTTTTAGCGCATAGTATAAATAGGCGAATTGAAACGCAGAATATTTTTCGTTCACTTAAGTCCCGCCCATATAAATCAAGTGACTGCTTACTTGGAGTCTGAACGAGAGCAGCAGACCCACTGGTTCTGAGTGAACTGGTACTGGTACTGGTACTGGTCAGTTCGTGACTGAAATGAAAGCACTAGGTGAAGGAATGAGGATCTGCTGACTCACTGATGGCGGCTCGGTTGTTATATGCATGTCGTTCATGAAAAGTGTGTAGCACTAAGACAAGCCTTATGTGTTGTTGTTGTTCATCATAATCCGCTATACACGAATTACAATTTTTTAAAATTATTATAGCATTGAAAACTACTTCATACACATGTACAAATGTTTGCTTTTTTTTTCAAATTACATTCGTGGTCATTTGTGACCACTCTCTCAAAACTAGCCTGCACTGACTGAAATGTCTTTCATGAAAATAAATTCACCAGACCTTCTCTTTGTGGATTGAACATGCCAATTTTAATAATTCATAATACTAAAATTTGGCGTTTTTAAATGAATGTATTGAGTGAATGAAACAATGACTTACTCATAATATCTAAAAAGACACTCGTTGGCGCCACCTACTGGTGTAATGATGTAACTTCCGGAAAGGGTCACAGCGAATTCCTTAGAGCACCTGAAAAATGACCATTAGACCATTAGGCTAGTTAAGTTTTTTTATGTAATATAAGTTTTTATATTTGAATAAGCCTTTATTTGCACCCCTTATTTTCTATCTATTGTATTACTCTTTACTTTGATGGCATCTACTGACTTGGTACAAATGCTATCTCAGTACAGTCACAATAAAGGTATTTTATCTTATCTTATCCTAACCTAGTGAAAGGAGCCCAGGAAAATCATCTCTTCATTGGCTGCCAAAGGATCTTTAAGGTTAGGAAGCAAGTGGAAGCAAGAAAGAGAACAAATATTAATTAGCATTAAATGTTTACTGGTGTTTTGGGTCCATCTCTCCTCTTCTGTATCCACTCCAGATAGATATAAACGCTCCATGATCACCTCTTCTTAGTGCTCTTCTCAGATTACTTACATTAGTTTCCTCATTCAGTTACCTAAATTGCAGTTTCTATTCTTTTCACACCACAAGGGGGCGCCCTGCGACTGCCTTATACACGAACCGTTTCACCATATCAAAGTAAAATGTGTATATCTATTGTATGTGGCCCTGTCCCAGTCTCAGACAGTCGATAAAATAAATTATAAACATTTTAATATTACTTACCCATTTGTCATTTAGGCTATTGTTGCTTCTTACTTTTTCAGTTCAGATAAACAGTCCACTCATACAAATCAATAGCGGAAACTCCTCACATAATAACTGTAATAACACTAACACAGTCAGGTTTTTAAAGTCCTCTCGGCAGGCTTGTGTTCGTCACGTGGGGATGTAGCTCAGTGGTAGAGCGCATGCTTCGCATGTATGAGGTCCCGGGTTCAATCCCCGGCATCTCCACAGGTGTTTTTTTTTTTTTTTTTCCTATCTACAGGCTCTTACAAAGCCATCAGGAAATCCATGTTTTGGGAATCTTTGGAACACAAATTTTATTACGATATATTAATAAATTTATTGTATATACTATGACAGAATAAGTTACGCAAGTTAGCTGGTTATTTGTATTTCAGCTAGAATTTTGTTTCATTTTCAGTGCCTTCGTCCTCAACTGATTGGACCGGCTACTCACTCACACAATTTCTCTAATTCTGAGTGTGAACTATATATTTGCCTTCGGAGTATTTCTAGTCTATCAGGTTTTTTTTTTTCCCAAAACCGCGAACGTGTGAGACGTGCTACATGCTCTACCATGACATGGCGCTTATTTACATTACTAAGAAATTGAAGGCTGTGGTCAGTTCATGTAGCCTCCATGTAGTATATTGTAAAATTGCATCGATAACCTTTCTCAAAAAATGCTAATATCTTTTGTATTCACTTTATAACGAAAAAATAAAAATGCTCGTGGTTCCACTGGGGCTCGAACCCAGGACCTTCTGCGTGTAAAGCAGACGTGATAACCGCTACACTATGGAACCAGCTGGCAAACCCGACAGTCAAATTGCTTAAATACGGTCAGGATATGGCGTGTGTTCAACAATGTTCCTTTGTTTACGGTAACACATAAAGACCAGCTACAACGAGATCGTGCTTGTCTGAGTAGGTCTTGTCCAGGCTGTCTGAATAGGCGTACCGTTCCCTGTTTATACTGGGCCCTGCCTCATTCTTTTACGGTTTCCGGATAAAACAGAAGCATGATAAAGCATGCCCCCTCTACCACTGTCTAACATATTATTATTTCTGCTACGGTACACTTACATCGTTTTTATTATACCACAGCGCCACTGAATTCTCCAATCTGATTGGTCAGAGGCGTTGATCAGTTTTCTTTATACCACAGAGCGGTTGAATGCTTATAATAATAATCATTCTTATTTCAGACTAATAATAAATGTATTAAAACGTGTTGTTTAGCAATGGTAAATGTATAATCGTTGATGTGACTTTTTTTTGTTAGGAGACATTTATTTAATATTTATGGAAGGGGTCTCAATTGTAAGCGCTTTGTAACAGTGACGGTGTTTTGCAAAGGTTTCCAGTACAGGAGAGAGAGAGAGAGAGAGAGAGAGAGAGAAAGCCCGCAGGGAATTTTATGCCATCAAAAGACAATGTCCTTTAGAGATTGCTGTTAGAATCTGGCTGAAAATATTAGGATCAGTATTTGAGCAGTGAGGTGTGGAGTCCACTAACAAATCAAGAATTTGCCAAATGAGAAAAACATCCAGTTGAAATCAGGGCAGAATTAGGCAAATACCCACTAATTATAAAAACACTGAAACAGGCAATCAAATTCTCATTACAAAGCCCTACACTACCAAGAGTCAGTCAAGGAAAGGAGACCCCTCTCTCAGCTGGTCTGAAACTTTAGCCCTGAAGGATCACCAACACCTACTAACCCCCACCACACTGACACTTTAGACCAGAACAACAATGTCAAACAAATCAGATTAGACTAATTTGGTCTAACTGGCCTAATCTGGTCTACAATACATATGAAACAAAACTGATTCACCTGTTGGGAGACCCAAACATAACATCAGAGTAAAATGCAATGCTATTTGGCCCTAAAAAGACAGTACACTGTGGCAGACTACCTACTTGTACACAGTGACAGATAAAAAACTGAGAACCACCTTGACAAGGTACAGACTCACTGAACACAACCTAGCAATAGAAACAGGCAGACACAGGAAAACATGGGTTCCACAGGAAGAAAGGTTGTGCCTACACCGCAACCAAAACACAGGTGAGACAAAGCTGCACTTCCTAACAGAATGCACAAAATACATAGACATCCGAGAAAAAAATTACCCCAAAATTAAACACACACACCAAACAATCTATCTGACAATCTATCAAACAGTGAACATCCTGTTTTTACACTAACCTTCCTTTATACTTGCTTTGGCAATACAAATGTACAATTGTTTGTCATGCCAATAAAGCACATGAAACTAAAAACCGAGACAGAGAGAGAGAGAGAGAGAGAAAGAGAGAGAGAGAGAGAAAGAAAGAGAGAGAGAGAGGGCACACTTGTCACTTATTAATAAATTAAACATTGCAATAGTTGTCAAATTGCTGTGGTCTAAGCGTAATAAGACACTCCAGACCATGCTGTTATATGAAAAATAATACACTTCCGGCTGAAAGGTTTATATCAATGTGTTCATTGTAGTAAATTATTGTTTCTATAGTAACAACCTGCACAGGGAATTTTATGGCGGAAAAGTATGAGAGACTGGTGAGAGAACAACTGTTTATAGCTGTCATAAAGTAAGTGATAACAGAAACTAACTTGTTTCACAACATTAAACATAACTATAAGTGAATAAAATGTTTGACATGCCATGCTTTAACTAATAAAAATTGTAATTGTTTGCCAATTGCTGCAGAATAAAACATATAACCACCCCGTCATTGATTGTTTATCTGTAACTGCACACCCCACTGTATATTATTCCTTACATGTTTTATACTACTGTAAAGTAACTCTCAGCCTTGCAGACAAGTTGCATTTGGTTCGAACCCAGGACCTTCTACATGTAAAACAGATAAGATTACCACTACACTACAGAACCAGCTGCTAAAAGACATTGTCAAATTGCTTAAATATGAATACAGACAAAATGCCTTTGGCTTCAAGTAGGAACAGCCTCCTCTCAGTGCATCTCTAACACATAGCATAATAAAGTTGTGAAAAACTATTTAGTTCTTAATCTAATTCAACTTCCTTCCTGTAGAGTCATATCACACTGTATTTATTTGAAAAACGTGACACTCTAAAAGCCACCACAGCAAGAGGATTATTTACTGTGACAACCACACACCTTTTTTATATCATAAACACTGTCTTGTCATAAGACCTACATAGCCCCCAGTATCCAATTCTTTCCACACTTATCAAGAACTGTTTGTATGGTCAAAATTTCCTAGTGACTGTTTTAACATGGCAAGATGTTCCATAACGTTCATTCAGATAATGTTATTCTTGCAAGATATAAATGCTCAAAAGAAGCAAAATTATCTGGCAATAGAATGAGACATTTTTAAATTAGTAAAACTTTCTAGAAAAACAGATTAATAGTCTCTAATTCTAATATTAGATCAATTTGCCTATATTTAAAAGATGTTTAAGATAACTTTGCAGTGGAGGTCATTAATCTAATGAGTCAGAAACATAACTAAAAACAAAACTGATTATAGGCTAAGAAAAAAATTTAATTATTTTTACAATATTATTTCTTATACAGTGGGTTCAATCTTAAACTCGGGTCTGTGTGGAGTGCGTGATCTCCCCATATTCACATCGGTTCCTTCCAGGTTCTCTGGTTTCCTCCCATTGTCCAGTAACATGCCAGTAGGCAGACTGTCTAAGATAAATTGCCCATAGGTGTGAATGAATGTGTGTGTGCATGGTGATGTGCGATGGACTGGCATCCCATCCAGGGTGTATTCCCACCTCATGCCCGATGTTCCCAGGATGGGCTCTGGATCTACTGCGACCTTGACCAGGATAAATTGATAAAATAAACAGCTGATAAAATAAATCCAAAATAATTTTATATTACTAATCCGCTTATCTTTTAGGCTTCTTGCTTTGTTAACTCCTCACTTTTTAGTAATTTATCTAGTTCCTAAGTTACTCACACTTCCTAATCTGCTCACTTAATATGATAATGAGGAGGCGTGGTTTATTTACCAGGTAAGTACCTGATGCATCATTGGCTAATCTCTGTGCAGGCTGGACTATTATAGGATAGGAAGAATACCATAATTTATTCTTCACTTACTGTATAAACAATTTTTGCTATTCGGTTATATTTTTGACACCACACATAGTGGCTTATTTCATTTTGGGGAATTCCACACAGCAGTGGTGCTGGTTTTAAACACTGTATATATATATATATATTAGTGACTTATTAGACACACTCACAGTTGAGTGCAAAAGTTTGCATCCCTCTTGGTTTCTGGTTGGATATATTAAACTTTTTTTGCTTTGATTTTAAAGTTTATCTACAAACAAAAAATTCCATGTTTATCTTCATGGGTTATGACATAGTCGGAATATTACAGCAATTGAATATAACTCAGCAGTTGTGGTCAGAAAGCTTAATAGTTTCAACGTTCATATTTTGCTTGAACATGCCCAAATAAGGTGTATAATGGGCAATAAATGTCTCCTAACCCCCCCCCCCCCACACACACACTTACACTTTCAGTATAATCTCATGGTTAGTTTCACTCATTTGTCACACAAGATTAGTGCATTATATATAGTATGTTTCACTTGTAAATGATATGTTTCACAGTAACAGAATTCTGAACAGTATGAATCCCTAAGCTCACTGCTTTACTGTCTCATGTAAATGTAATGTAGAAATGTAGAAATGCAGAAATGCAGAACCGGCTGAAAGAAAGACAGACTTCACTCTGCCAATCAGGATGCGCAGCGGCTGAGGGTAAATAAATATGGCGGATTTATACCATGCGGCACAATAAGGGGTTTAATCGACGGGGTAATAAAACTAGAGGGTGTTAGCTATGGAGAAAAGACAGCAAGCAAAATCGTGATGTTTCCTTTTCTTTTTTTTTTCTTTCTTACGAAACGTGCGTGAGCATCCCGACATGGAGCCTATTCTCTCTCTCATTAGGATATAAATGGATCTCCCTGTTTCAGTATCGCCCCGTTTGGACTGCTCGATGAATTTTTAAAAAACAGCATTTACAGGCAGGCTTGTATTAGACTAAAATAGCCATTTAACAGAGAAGACGGTTTAAGAAGAATATGGGATACAAGGTAAGAGCGCATTTTGTTTTTCCTCATGTGTAATAGTACCCTTAGAGTAAAATAAACCGAGTCACGCGCTTCTGAGCATGTCACATCCTTTTAATAAATAATAAAACACACTGGTGCAGTTAGCGTTCCGAATAATAGATGCAGGATTTCAGTGAAAACTGGATACGCACAAAACCTGTGTTCCTCAGTGGTGTCAGTTCTGAAGGTGGTTCACGGACAAATATCATCATCCCTGTAAAATGGTGTTAATACGCATGGAAGGCTGAGTCTTTTATCTTGATATGTCTGATTAGCCAGACCTACTGACTACTAAATCTCTGGGCAAACTGATGCTCAGTTCAGTGTCTTCACCTGCTTAATTCAAACAAACTGGCCGTAATTTATCTGGAATCACTAACAAGCCTGTTCTTGTAAGTGATTATCTGCTTAACCTTCATGTCGTGGTCATCACTTAGCAATGGTTAATTCCACTGACCCAGATCATATACAATCTTCAAATCCTAGTTAAATCTTCATTATACTGTGTCTGAACAATGCTTATGGGGATAGATACTGAAAAATACTGTCACATGCTTAGGGATCCTCTACTGACGCTACTGGTACTGGTTTCACATACCAGCCATTTACAATACACTTAGTGCAGCTTATTATTCCCAGATGAGCTGAGCATCTTATGAGTAATATTAATGTGATTTATACAAATACTTTTCAGGTTTGTTAGAGAAATTGGCAACAAACATTATATTCATTATTTTCCTTTGTCTTTTACTGGTGAGGGTCACAGTGGCAGCAAGGCTGATGAGGTCAGTGGAGACTTCTTTATCGCTGACCTCAGTTTCCAGGTCTTCTCTGATGTGGGGTTGATAAAGCTCTAAAAAAAAAAAAAAAAAAAGACCAAAGTTAAACAGATGTACCCATTTGTCTATTTTAGATACAAAACTGATACTGTTTCAGCTGAGTGCATCACTGATCTGATACTGACATCTTTACTGGAACCAAGCTTCTGTGTTTATGTGCATGAACTGTGTTACGTAGGCCAACAACACATTTAAAAAAAATCCGTTTATAATTTGTGCCCAAATCAGAAACCAGCATTTCAGGTCGACGCATCCTGTCATTTTTCTCAGTATTCTTTCACATTTAAAATTTCACATATTTTATTTTGAACTAAACACAACAAACTTGACACAACTGACTTGTGCTGTGTGTTCACCGGCATGATGAACCCTACATGATTGCAAATCAATACCAAGAAAGTTGATAAGAGCGGAGCCGTGTTTCTTGTGACCACTTCACGTACATTGTTCCCTGCAGGCTACATCCTGCATATTAAGATGGGATGATTCACAATTAGTCGCACAATATTTTCATTTTACGGCACTCGATTGTGGGGAAAAAACAGAAGTCAATTGGACTATAAACCAGTTTGGAGGGTTTAAAACAGAAAAGAGTAAAGGAAGATGCACCTATATGGAAATTCAGACATCACACTGAACTTTCCAAGCGAAACTGAAAATAGTTTTTCTAGTTATTGTTCACTTACAATTCTATTAACAAGTTTGTTAATTTTCCAGGTACAACAACATAACAAAGTATAACAAAAATCCAGCTTGTCTAACATGACCACAACATGTCACAACATTGCCATTATAATGAGAACAGTAAGATCAGAATTAAATGCACAGGACATATCATTCCTGAGTTCTTTCATGCTTGCACATCATTTTGAAACAACAACAAAATGCACAAAACAGCAGCCCAAGTTTTCAAGCTTTTGCAGCTGTGGTTTGCCAGGACAGGAAGGCTACATGCACACATCAACAGAAAACATCTTACTCTTTACGTCTGCATGCAGCCTTCCAGTACTAGAAAAACCTCAGCTGTAAATAATCACTGAAATCTTGTGCTGCTAGTTTGTACATATTACTGTTACTGCCAAGACAGATCATTTTACAAATATGACATTTTTTTATTGTGCTTCATGACACATGGATCATGCTCATGATGTTATTAATTTGTGTGTAGGTTGTTTTAGGGATATGCACAATAAGGCTTAATTTGTGAATGTGGTAAATGTTAGTTTTAACATTTAACATAATAAGGAAATGGGCTTACTTCTAATCTCAGCCACAACAGAATCAATGGAAGTGAGACTCTGACCCATGAAATCTGACCATAACTGACCATATCCAAAATGTAAAATAAGACAAGGCGAACATGAAGAAGCAAATCAGTTTTTAAATGATCATTTCATTTATTGAAGGAAAATGGTTGTGCAAAACCTATATCACCCATGTGAAGAAGTAATTGCCCTCCTCAGACTGATAACTGGTTGTGCCACCTTTCAGCAGGAACAATTGTTTTCCGATAACTTATGAAAGTCTCGTTAATTGTTTGAGTAATTAATGAGGCAGTTACTTTTTCACACAGGACCAGTTGATGTTGGATAACCTTTTTCCTTCAATAAATGAAATGATCATTTAAAACTGTATTTTGTGTCTACTCAGGCTGCCTTTGCCTTTAATTGAATTTTGTTTAAAGATCTGAAACAATAAAGTGTGACAAATATGCAAAAATAAAAAGAAATCAGGAAGGGGGCAAATACATTTTCATGGCAATGTACATAACTGACTGAAAAGTGATTCTTTTTCCATGTGAGTCCTGTGATTTATCCAATCAGCACCGAGCATGTGGTGTTCAATACAGACCTACCCTTTCTGTTTTGAGTTAATGTTGTGTTTCTGATTTTTTGACATTTATTGTGGTGTTGCTTAATGT